GTGCGCTTACTATGAGAACTTAACTTGTTTAATAACTTTTTTTATGGACGTACGATCTTCATGAAACTTTTAGATTATGATTATAACATGAATATGCATGTAATTGCCAAAGCACAAGTCTTTAGTATTTGAAATACGCTTTTTACAAAAGTGAGGGTGAGGGGGTGAATTTAAGGGTGGGGGGTAAATTTTAACAAAAACCGAAATTGTATAAATTGCATATAAGCATACATTAAAAATTTGGAGACTCTAGCAATAAAGGTGTAGAAGATATAATTTTATAGCTGGTTTTCGATAAGGGTTTTTATCGATAAAAAAAGATCGGGATGAGTTATCGATTTTTAATGATAAACTTGATATGCGCGCTGTAATTACGAACATTAAAAACAAAAATTTGAAGTCTCTAGCTCTTATATCTTCTGAAATCGACGCGTTCATACATACGGACAGACGGACAGACGGACAGACGGACGGACGGACAGACGGACAGACGGACAGACAGACGGACAGGGCCAAATCAACTCAGCTCGTCGCCCTGATCAAGAATATATATACTTTGTGGGGTCTGCCACGCCTCCTTCTGTCTGTTACATACATTTCAACAAAACCATTATACCCTGATTTCCCATTGAAAAAGGGTTCAGGGTATAAAAACGCTAGAAACAAAACGTTGGAGCATAAAGGAAAAAAATTTAATTTAATTTATGCAAAACTCACTGGACAAGAGTAAAGCAAAGCAGAAAGGGTGGGGGCTCGGAGGCGGGGTAGTGGAAAATACGGTTTAGTATTTTTTTTCGACTGTTTTTAATGACTAGTTTTAGAAAATTTATGAGCCGCAGCGGCGTTGAAATTGAAATTAAACATTAAATTTGGGCTTTCTGTGAGAGGTGTGGCCACAATTTGCGTGGGACGAACGCGGCTTAATCTACGGGGAGTTGGCAGTGTGCATAGATGGTGTTTAAAATTAACGCATTAAAGCGATATGAATTCAGATGTTAGTTAACGGGACAGACGACTGAAATATAAAGTTGTCAAGTTTGTGAGGAAATTATCAGCCAGGCCCTATTGTATAGGAGGGAAGAGAAATTTAGAATGGAAATGGAGCTATATTAAGAAATAGTGTACAGTATTATAGGGGAAAATAAAGTAAACATGTAGACGAAAGTTTAAACAAAATCTTTAAATCTTTAATAAATTCAATAATTATTATAAATGCAATGATTTTTTTTAGATGATTATGCCTAAAGTTCAAATTTATTTAGCGAACTAAATTAATCAATATATTGAAGCTAAAAATTGGTCTCTCTCAATGCTATGTTATATACATGCTTGTATGTTTTTGTATGATAAAACATATAAATATGTATCATATTGCTTCTACTTTTTCGATTCTCAGTTAGTTAAAATTTGTAAACATTTATACGATTTTTTTCGAATCTCAAATTCATGAAAATGTATGCAGATTAAAGATTTTTTCGTGTTCCCATAAACACAATCTGCTCGTTTCTGATGCTCATAACTTGATGTTGATGATGCTGTCTAATGCTCTATCGACCTCTAGAGCTCTGACGCCTAATACAAATTAGTTTTTATGAAACTATATGACCCAAATGCTAATTAATATATTTAGCATTATTTAAATGCTAATCGTATGATCAAAGGTGTGTTAGCCGTCTATTTTGGCACAAAACTAGATAAGATTATGAATAGACTTGTCAGCGCTGACAGTTTGGAAGCTTAGAGCTCTGACATTGTTTTATATGTTCAGCTTGCTTTGCAGAGTTTAGTTCTTTAGGATTGGTTGTTAATAACAATAAATTTGACTTTCATTTTATGCAATTAATATTACCCCAGAAATACAATTAAAATTGTGTATGAAATAAATTTGAGACAGATAGTCAAAGCCAAGTGTAAAATAAATCAAAAACTAAGTATTATTACCTATCCATAAAATATAAAGAATATAGAGTTATATTATATATAAAAAATTATTTTAATATTTTTTATTAACTGTCACGTCTAATCATTAAATAATTAAAATAATAACTGTCAATAATAATAATAATAACTTACGAGAAAAATAACACTTGATTTATGTTACATCTTATTTAGGTGATAGATATTTTAATTTAATTATTTACATTATTAAAAATATGCTCCAATTATGTATAATTGTTTAAATATATTTTACCAAATATTTAATGTAAGTTCTACAATTTTTTAACAACCAAGACATCAAGGAATTGATGTTATTTTCCCAAATTAATTTCTAGAACAAGAATCTAACCTCCAACAACTTCTAAGTATCTTTTTTAAATTTATCCAAAAAACGAAATTTACCATACAAGTGCGCTGTTGAGCTTTTGCTACCTCTTCACAAGTGAACTTCCTTGGTTGCTACTCAGATCATGAGCGTAGTTAAATGTCTGCCGGAAACTGAGTAACTACGCCCCGTGTTTATCAAAGCGCTGCCCACGCCCATCACGACGATGAGATGACAACAAGAGCCAAGCGCTGGAGCTCGAGTAACGCATAATTTTTGGCTTAGTCGTTTGCCAGAGATGGAGATAGAGCTGGCGATAGAGATAGAGATAGAGATAGAGTTGGGGAAAGAGATGGCTAGGTTGGGGGAGCTGTAGCTCTGGAGTAGTGCCAAGGGGGCGCTGCTACTCTGATGACTGTTTCCGACTGTTGGTTGGCTTTGGCTTGCCATTGCCATTGCCTTTGCTTATTTTACTTCATTTGTAGCTACAATTTCAGCAGTCACACCTACAAGCGACCACGCCCTACGCCCCTCACTACAAATGAACAGCATGCGTGGCATAACAAATTGCTGTGCAGAGTGTGAGGTATACATATACTACCATCTGTATATAGTATATAGTATATATATATGTAATCTTGAAATGGCAGAGCAAGCATCTGAAATAGACGTCGCGTAACCCTTGCCTTTTGCGGGACCTGTGTTGGAGCAATCCTTTCCCTGAATTGTTTGGCATAAATAAACAATTCAATTCAATTTTGTTGTCTTTTTGCGTGTGTGTGTGTGTGTGACTGTTTTTTTTTTTTTCAACTTATTTTTATATACCTTGTGTATGTCAACAAATGCGTTACAAAAACTCCCCCATACACAGATAGACTCACACACACACACACTTTGACAGCCACAGACACACGCGCGGGCGCGCTCCCCAAATCTCAGGCATAAATTTTACATGTAAATGAGCCAGACGTTAAGACGTTGGCGGGAATTAGACATAGGCATGGCAGAACTATAAGCTAAGACAGAAGAGCGTTAGCTTATGAAGAGAAGAGCTAGAACCAGGCGATGCCCTGTAATTGAAGAGAGGCGGAGCTTAGATGTGCTTTAGTTATTGTGTAATGGGTAAATGATGTATTATTAAATACTTATGAAAATGTTAAGATTAATTTAAATTTTAGTTTAAGTTTTTAATTGAAAAGTGAATTTCAAATACGAATTGTAGTAATTCAATTTCTTCATAAATTTAGTTGGCCTTAGTTATTATGGGCTTATTATATATTCATTTCTAATTTCTAACTTTTAACGAATTAATTATTTTATGTAAACAATAAATTTTTAGCGAAATTATAAAACTTCATAATCCACTATTCAGTCTAAAAAATTTAAAAATAATAAATAAATTGCTGATATAAGTCTCAACTGAAGAATTTAGTAAATGATCCATTGATGAAATGAATTAACAGATTATAATTAAGAATATTATTATTTATTTATATTATTAATGCTGAAATATTAATGATTGATAATTGTTTCCTAACAGAGGATTTTCCCATTGCTAAAGTTTATTTTATATTTTATAGAATGAGTATCAGCCGAAGCTAAACTCAAACAACTCAAGTACTTCAAGGTAGTCAACCTTCATCATAGACACTTTTGCTGCAACTTCATATATTCCACACATAACACAAATACACCCCATATACCCTATCGAGACTCAACACATGTGAAACCTAGAAAATTCATACAAATAAGAAGTTGCGCCTAGCGACAATTGGGTCGGGTGTTACACATCTATGAATAATTCAAATGTTTCTTGGCTGTAATAATAATAGCAGCACATTATGCAATGGCAAACAACTGCAGAGCAGAGCTGTAGAGCTGCAGAGCTTCACTGATAGTTTTGTAATGATCAAATTATATGGCTTTGCTTGGAGGGCACTGATTAGGCACGTTACAGGGGCAAGAAGCAAGAGACAAGAGACAAGAGCCAAAAGATTTAAGGCTCAGCCGAGGCTTAGTTCAATGGTAATGAATTCATTTAAATTGTGCGTAATTAGCTGGCAAAAGCCAGAGAGCTGGAGAAGCTACAGCTGGAGCCTCGCCTGATGGGAGAGTTGAGAGTTATCCAGCTCTAGTTTATGGGGAGCTTATGGTGTTGAATTGTGTGTGTGTGTGTGTGGGTGAGTGGGTGAGTTGAGTTGAGTTGAGTTGCCTATTGTGGTGGCTCGTCAATGTGGTTGAGCCATTTAATTGGAAATGGCCTTTAAAGCCTTACGAATTGTCTGGCAATTGTGTGAGTGTGTGCAGCTCTCCACTCGATGTGAAATTAAGCCTTATAGCATTATTAAATATATATATGTATATACCAGCTCTACTTTGTATATAAATGCCTGGGCTAGCCAAGGACTTGGCTGTAGTCTCATTAGGGCCAACTCGTTTAGCCAGAAACATGAGCGCCAAATGAGCTCAGATCAAATAAATTGCACAACAATCAGCTAATGTGTAGTGCCTAATGACCAAGTCTTAAGATACTAGCACAGCCTCAACTCCCCCCTCTCCCTTCAGCTCCTGCCCCTGCTCCTGTCCCAGTCCCTGCCTAATGCATTTTTAAGTCCGTTGGCAATCAAATGAACGCAGCGGCATCTTCTCTTGCTTATATTCATATAATTGCCAAGTGAATTAATTGTAAAACTCAAAATTAATATGTTTATTTAATTCTCTTGATTTTACCGGACAGGTGCTCACCTTTCTGATAGACTCGTCCCGCTTTCGCTATCCCGAGCGAGCGATTGTCTTTCTGGCCGTCTGCTATTTGGTCGTCGGCTGTGCCTATGTGGCCGGATTGGGTGCGGGCGATTCGGTGTCGTGTCGTGAGCCATTTCCGCCGCCAGTGAAGCTGGGACGGCTGCAGATGATGTCCACCATAACGCAGGTAAGTGTGGAGCAGGTGAAATGAATTTCATTTTTTATTAACCAAATTTCTTCTATACTCCTCCCTCTGTCTCGCTCCCTCACTCGCCTACAGGGTCATCGGCAGACAACCTCCTGCACGGTTTTATTCATGGCATTGTATTTCTGTTGCATGGCCGCCTTTGCCTGGTGGTCATGTTTGGCTTTTGCGTGGTTCCTGGCCGCCGGACTTAAATGGGGCCACGAGGCAATTGAAAATAAATCTCATTTATTCCATTTGGTTGCCTGGGCGGTGCCCGCACTTCAAACCATATCCGTGCTGGCTCTGGCCAAAGTTGAAGGTAAGTGCGTCATCCATTGGCTTATTATTAATCTCATAAGACAAATAGCGCGAGCAAGAGCGAGACAGCTATCGAGTTACCGGAAGGCGACGAGTAGGGGAACGACATTGAACTTTAACCTGCGTAGTCCACTTGAGGCATATTATAAATTACCAGCACTTAATAGTAGATACACAAACTAACTAAGCCCCAAAGGCAATGCGGTCCCCGCTTTAACCACAGCAACAGCGCCAGCCGTCATTCAGTGCTCATCATGTAAGACGAAACCGTCATTAGACATCATTTTGTGGCATTAACTGTATCTGTTTCGATGCTGCAAAGCCCCGAAATACAAACCAAAAGAACCTTAAGAGCAGCAAAATTAGTGGCTGAAAATGAGAAAATAGTAAACAAAATTTTGAGATTTAAAAAGTCGAAAAAATATTCCAAAAATGATTATGAAAATATTAAAAGTACGTTTTATATTATGATAATATTTTTAAATGTGTTTTGCAATAATATGCATTTTATATATAATATTTATGAATAATTTTTTATTAGCATATCAAAATAATCAATATTGATTATGAGTAGAAATTTAACAAAAATTATTTTGTAATCAATTAATAATAATTTTTTTTTTATTTCTATTTTATTCACTATTTTTTATTTTTATTATTATTTATTTATTAATTTAATATTTTATTTTAATAGTTATTTATAATTAATGTTATTTATTATTATTTATTTGTATTATTTATCAAACTTTTTTATTATATTTAATTTATATTTAATTATTTTAAATTCTGTATTTAATATTATTTTTATTTAATTTTTTTACTATTTTTTTTATTACTTAACTTTAATTATTAAATCTATTTGAACTAGTATTTTTTATTTATATAAATAGTTTTTAATTTACTTATTTATTCATATTATATACATATTTTACAAGTTTTTCATTTCGGTAAAATCATTTTTTTTTTTTTTCATAAATTGAAGTTTTTGTCCCATCGTACTTGGTCTTAGCAGACGGTGCGTGCCGCCCGTTTCACAGTCATTTTGTGGTTCATTTAAAAACGAGCTGAGCAGCCGGAAAGTTGATGTCCGCGATTTCTAAGCAATTTAATGACCTACGTGGTCGAAAGCCGACACGAAATAAATCTTGGCCAAGAAATGTAAAACAAAATGGTTGCTAAAATGGTCACGTTAAAGTGCCGTAAAAAAGCCAAATATATATCTATTTTTTATGTGCTTACCTTTTAGCTAGCTGATTCTGTGGGGCCGATGCGGGCAGAGTAACTCGAGCATCGTTGCTTAGCGGCTGCCTGCTTGCTCTTAGCTTTTGCTTATGTTTTTTATTATTTTTCCTGGAGAGCCGTTCACATTTTTGGTCTTAATTAGATTGCGGCTTAATGACTCAATTGTGTTTGGCATTTGGGCGCATTAGAATTTAGCGCAGCTGAGAAGATGTCGTTGTGGCTGCTAAAACAGAAGCTGAAGCTGATGCCCCACACACACAAACACACAGATATATATATATATGTATAACCGCCTCCTCCGCTTCCTCTTCTTCCTCCTACTGCTCTTATCCCTTGTTAATTTCCAATGCGAATGCGTATTCGGGCAGTAATTAAATACAGCACACCACATGATTATGGCTTGTTAGGCAAATCCAATGAAAATGGAGAGCACTCTGGGCTGCTGCTTCTGGATGCCCACTTACGGCCAAATATATTGAACATTAACTGCCTGCCTGCCTGTCCGCTGTAACTGTCGAATGTAAAGTGAGCGAGCATTTGGCACCGGCTTAACACACGATAATTGCCATCAATGCTGACGGAATGGGCAACGGGACGAGAACTACTCGCAAAGCCAACTTAAACTGAGCGCATTGCTAAGGCTCTAATTCACGAATGAGTTCCGCTCTTTAACTGAGGGCAATCAGTTGCATTTAATAGGTAGACGGAGAATTGCTGAAATTGAAAATGGCATTTGGGTGGGCAATGTGGAACAGAGAAAGCATTTTGTATATTTTTACATTTTTCATTTATTTTAAATTGTTTGCTGTCTTTGAGTAATTATTGTGATTGATATATGTGATTGCTGCTAGGAGTGGCCTCTTTTATAGGCAGAGGGAGAGGTGTGTGGGAAATATACATAATCCTTTCTTTTGCCTCTCGATTAGTCATACATTGGCTCTCTGACCTTGAAACTAATTTATAGAGCAGCTGCACTGAGCTCTATATAGAATTCTTTGACTCGAAGAGTGTGCATTTAGCTCTCACTTAGTCGAATCGTGTGTAAAAACTAACTCAGAGAGAAAGACTTTGGCAGTGAGTTTAATTTTGAGCGGGTTGCTAGATCTATATAAAGGCATGATAGCTGTCACACCTATTCAGTCCTATTTCTAATTTACTTGTGGGCAGTCGTGCAGAGCTCCTCCTCTACTCTGTTTGGTAAATATTTGCATTATTATTAATCTCAAGTATTAAAAATAATTATTGTACTTATATTCGTAAGTATTGTTTAAGATAATCATCGTTGTGCTAATAATAAATGTATTATTATTAAGTCAACATTGCACAATATTTACGGCATAAATAGGAATCAAGATAATAATTATTGGATAATTGTTAATTTCATGGTATTAAGATTAAGGTATTAATAAAATTATCTTATCATAATAATCATAATTATGCATAATTAATTCAGTCAGGTCTTATCTGCTGGAATAGTTAATGTTTTTCCATTACTTTTCATTTGATATTTGTAATAATAATAATTATATATAGTATATACAATATTTATTTTCAAGTGATATACAGGGAAGGATTAAGTTTTTCAAATGTCCATATAAAATTACACATTTTGACAACTTTCCCATGAAATATGAATCCATTTCGTAATGGAAAATTAATACCCATATTTATCCGGCTTTCATTTTGCAAATACCTTTGCATTATGTTATATTTCTTATCTTTGTGGATATGCACATACACGAATGTCTCTAAAAAAAAAAAAAAAAAAAAAAAAAAAAAACGAGCTCACAGCAATTTCGCAAGTGCTGTGCAAATACAATCAAATATTTCCACTTAAACAGGCTTTCCTGCCACGCCCCCTCTTATCGCAGCCCACATTACACTACTCATATAGCAATGCAGAGAGTCGCTAATGCATGCAAAATGGCAAAAGCCATAAAAAACATATGTTCGCAATATACGAAAGAGAGGGAAAAAAATAAATAAAAGATGGAAAACATTAACAACGAGCTGAAACGATTTATGAAAATCTTTTGCCAATGACTTAATGCACTGGGCACAGTGGGCTGCAAAGGGGGCTGCGGCCGACAAATGTCTTTGGCACTCCTTAAGAGACACACAAGTATCAGAGAGAGAGAGAGAGAGAGAAAGAGGCAGATACAACGTAACGGTAAAAGGCAAAGGCAGCCCATTCAGAAACCATTCAGCGACAATTAATGTTAAATTTAAAAATACATTATTTTAATGTGTCGTCAGCTGGTTGAGAGCTGTTGCCGTTGCCGTTGCCCAAGAGGCGACGATGATGGCGTTCCGTAAACAGTGCCAGCCAACAGTTAGCAGCCAGCCGGTAGTCAGTCAGCCCAGCAGCTACCATCTTCGAGCTACTACCAACTTTGCCTAGAGCCTCGCCGCCTTTGGTTACGTGCATTGAATTTGTAATTTGCGCACGTTCGCAGCAAACATTGAATAATGCTCACAGATACGAACTCTCTCTCTCTCACACACGCTCTACCTTTCTCTTGCCAGCACTTTTGGTTAAGTAAATAAACGTTATGGCGACAGACCCTGAGCTGGGGACACATCAATTTGTATTGACTGTGCAACGCGTTGGCAGCTCATTTGATGGAGTTGCCATTTTGGAACAGAGGCAAAGGCCTATGAATCACCTGCAGAAATGTATATTCTCACTATCTCTCTCTCTCTCACACACACAAAGATTTCAATGCAAAAAGCTAATATTTAATTTATGCTAAATGACAATCTGTATGTATGTGTGGCATATCAAGCAATGTTCGATTCTTGCGCTCAGCTCTTGGATTAGTTTTCAACAGGATCTACCTTAAAGTCTATTAAACGTATTAAAAATATATATAGTCAAATTATGTAAGAAAATAAGCTTAAGGCATTTTAAGTAAATATCCAGCCGCAATAAGCCTGGTCAACAGTTGGATTTCAAGTTCTTAACAATTTTATTATTTTATGCTCCGTCTTTTGCCTTTTACGCTTGTTAAAAAGACGAAAGAAATATAAATCCATCTGTGACACAAAAATATGTAAATTAACAACAAGACGCAGAGGCGAATGAATGTGACTGAAAGTGAGACAGACAAAGAGAGAATGAGAGAAAGAGAGAGGAGAGCGGAACAGAGGTTTTTCCTCTGTAGCCAGTGAAAGAAAAGAAAATTAACAATTTGTTGCGCTTTTGCAATTTATATGCTGCAAGACAAAGTCGTGTTCCAGTTTGAGTTGTCTCTTTGGCAGGGCTGCGTATACCCTGTAGGCCAATGTTGAAGAGGGAGTATGCATGAATGTGCCTCATAAAAGAATTGTAATTTTTGCGCTGTTTGCCTAGGGTATCTCGGAGCTGTATCTACCAGTTCTTTCGCTTGTACGTTTTTCTTCATTTGTCAAGCTATTATCATAGAGTAGAGGGAAAGGGAAAGAGAGAGAGAGAAAGAGGGAGTGAGAGAGCTGGAAAAATAATATAACCGACTAGCAGCTATGGAATTAACATAATTTATCCGAGGCCTGGCCAGTTGCAAGGCGACTTCTGGGACTTGGCTGAAGTCTGGCATTGCATTTGGCGAGCGGGCAGCTCAACGACGGCGACGACGACGACGACGACGACTTATTGAGTGGCATAAAAAAAAAGCTGCATATGAATGATTTATGATGTGGCGGGGCTGGGCAATTCGACAGTAGCTGGAGCCAAGATCAGCTGCACTAATGCATTGCGTCAGCAGAAATTTGCTAGGCAGC